TCCTTTGACCTACAATGGTGACCTGCCTACAAGATGCACTGCTTTGACAATGGCCCAAATGATATCAGAGTAACCAACTACACATAATCAAGGAGATGGAACTCATTCCTGATCAGCTCCAATGGCCAAGAACCAGAGACTAGATAGGCCATGGACCTAGGGGAAAACCAAATATTACTGTTCTCTTAAAGATATGTAACATTATAATGACTTTTAAGGACTTTCTACTATACCCATATATCAATGTCTTATTCATACATCATCAGAAAACCTTTAGCTTGAAGTATCTGGGAACAACTACAGGTACACACAACTCCACAACTGGAAAATGTGCAGATAATGAGAGACCTTGGAACACCAAGTCCTAAATGGAAAGTCTCCAACAAACTTCTCCCTTCATGGCTCAGGGAATCTTGTAGAAGAGGAAGCAGAAAGATAAAAGAGTCAGTGGGGATGGAAGGCACTAAGGAAACAATGCCCTCCAGACACAATAAGACTGGCTCACATATGAATTCATCAAGATGGTGGCAGCAAACAGTGGGTTTGCACAGGTCCAATACAGATGGGGGTCCCAGTGCTGAGTGGGGAAGTGAACATGGTCTGTCATCCCTATTAAGAAGCTATTTAAAATTGACAACCTCTCCAAAGGAAAATTTAGGTTTCCTTAACAAAGTTTTATTGGTTGTACAAACCATATTTAAGGGCAGGCCTCATGCCCAGTTGTAGATGGCCAACTGAAATGAACTCAGTGCTATTTTTAGATATTTTTTTCCTCATAATGCTTTATCTGGGCATTATTTTAGCATATTGGTTACAATATTATGGTTTCCAACTTTGTGTTTTTTATGGATATTTTGTATATTCATATGTCTCTGTATAAATATGTGCTTCTCATGTTTTTATTGTTTTTGTTTGTTTTGTTGTATTCTGAATTGCTTGTTTATTTGTTTGCATGTTTTCTAAAGAGATAGAGAAAGAAAGTGTGGATTTAGATGGCTGGTGAGGTGGGAAGACCTGGCAGGAGATGAGAGATGGGAAACTAATAAGAATATATTCCTTGAAAAAAATCTATTTTCAATTAAAACAAAACAAAACAAAAGAATAACAGTGGTGCAGTCTGTCTTTATTACTCAAAGAAACCCAGGTTTACACAGATTGGAGTTATTGATTCTTATTGTAGTTATGCTGCACAATGTCCCTTCCAGATCCAACATGCAGAGCTGAAAATGTTTGATTTTCCATGAGGTGACTGTTCCTGCAGGAATAAGATGGAGACATGGTGCTAAAGAGGAAATGTGGAAGTATGGTTTCTTAGTATTCATGTTCATTTCTCATCTAATCATTTTATAATGATATTTTACACATAGCTTCTGCCTTGTAATGGAATTGGATAAAAAACTATGAAACTTTCTGGCTTTTTTTTTCTTTTATGCCACTGAAAACAGAAAATACCTACAGAGAGCAATGTCAGGCACAGAGTGATAATGGACTGGGGAGAAACTGTCTCATAGAATGGAAACCTAAGACCATGCACATTCTTAGTCATCTAACATGCCTGCCATTTCCCTGACAGGTGCCTGAAAAAGTAGATATGATCCTAAATGGTTTTCATACCTCCCACAACATAAATGGATTGATAGTAGATAATGGGGGAGATTAAATTTATAGTCAAATAAAAGAAAATTGCACTTTGCTAAATATAGTGATCATATGTGCTGTGATAAGGTGGTGGCTAGCCCAGGCAGAGAGAAGCAGGGTGCTCCTGTACGAGGCTCTGTTTTATCATACACTCTAACAAACTTTTCTTGTAAGAAACACAGTGACAAGGCTCATGCACTAGATTTAGATCCTGGTCCAACTTCCAGGGGCCCCTCAGATAGTCCCAACTTCACAACTGACTTTCATATATGGAGGGCCTAGTTAGATCCCGTGGCGGCTCTACCACTGTCAGTCTAGAATTCATGAGTTTCCATGAGCTTGGTTCAGCTGTCTTTGTAGATTGTTGGAGCCCATTTCCTAAGGTGGGATGCCGTGCTCAGCCTTAATTCAGTGGGAGGGCCTTGGTCCTACCCAACTTAATGTTCTGGACTTTGTTGACTCCTCATGGGAGTTCTCACTGATTGGGAGGAATGGAATGGGTGGTGGGCCTTGGGGGTGTGTGTGAAGGGGAGGCAGGAGGAGTGGTGGGAAGGAAAACTGTGGTTGGCATGTAACATAAAATTAAAAAAAAACACATAAACTTGGAGAACCCTAGAATGAAGGTTTCTTAATATATGAAGCAAAAGTCACATTGACAGTCTCCCCTTGAAGGGTTTCTGAAGTTAAGTACCCTCTTTCCAGAGGTAACTGGAAGGCTCAGATTCTCAACAGAGGTACTGATGAAGTTTGTGGACCTGATATAAAACAGAAATTTTTTTCTCTCTCCAGATACAGAAAAAGTGGCCTAGATTATTACAAAACACAAAATAGCTTGTACTGAGGTAAAATTAGCTTACAAGTTAAAAAGTCAGTGTTTTATATATTTATATATTTATATAAAAATGTCAAGCGTGCAAGCATGGGGTAGTGTCAGCTGGGAGCCACTGTGCTTTGACTTCTTCAGGAAGAGTTAGTGGGGGCCTGAGTGTGTGAGGATGGCTCAAGGAAGAGAGAGGCTTGGCCATGGCTTAACCAGGAGTGGTGGTTGCTGTAGATGAGCAACAGCCCCTGTTTGCAAGGCTTAGTTTATGATGGGAAGATGGTAAAAGACTTCAAGATATCACTTAATATAAACTGAAAAGAATTAGTCGGTCAATCCAGATGACCTGCTGCTGCAAGAAGAGTTGGCAGATAATTCACTGATCACCTCAGTAAAGATGGAAGTAAATGAACTAGAAGATGGAATGAAGAAAACATGGTGTATCTATTCAGAATTACTCAGTCACCGATAAAGGTGTAGGTCAAAAAGTAGAGTTGACTTTGAAGAAGTTGAACAGACTGGAGCAGGATGAGTAAATTATGAAAATCAATGAAACACAAAAGTAATGAAAATGAACTGGAGATGGCTCAGCAGGTGGATGCAATACTCAGTTTTTATGTGATGAAATTCACCACTTTGAAAAACAGTTGGAAAAAAAGATAGAGAATTAAAGAATGGGGGAATGTTTTGGATAAAGAGAAAAATGCTAATGATTAATTGGCTCTTTGAATGGAAAGGGAGAATATGGAAATAGCACATTAAGAAGAGAGAATGAATAGCTTTGTCAAGACATTACTGATGACCAGAAACAAATAGATTCACAAAAGACATCACTTTGATTAGGAAGAGGAGAAGACAGTGACAACTGATCGCAGTTGTCTAAAAAGAATTGTTCATTATCTGGATGAAAGTCAGAGCTTAACAGAAGCTAGTGAGAAAAACAGAAATTTAGAAGTAAGAGATGAGAAAAAGTATTGAACAGATGGTACAGGAAATGGAGAAGATGACTGATGATTATAAAAGGATAAAAGTTATTGTGCAATCAGCAGATACTATTGTGGACCAGATTTTAAAACATAACGGGCATTGGTGATTCAAGTGTGAGAGCTCAGAGACCTTAAAAGCCCGGTATGAGGAGGATGACCCAGTCATGATGACTGTCGATGCAAATGTAGAAGAATGGAAGGTGCTTTTCTCAATAGATAAATCTCTTTCACATTTTATATTTTGATTTAACTTAAATTTTGATTTTAAGGATTTACCGCAGAAAATAACATTTATATTGGTTTTTGAAGTTTACTGTATGCCGTGTCTAGAAAACTTCTAATAATGCTATTTGTAGCTCTCAAGTTCATTTCTTTATTAAACAAGCACTTTCAAGTCACGATTAAGGAGGAATGAAATTAGGAAAATAATTTATCAAGATCAGTTAGGAAGCTTCTTCAGAGTACCCTCATTCTGTGCCTAATTACCACCACCTAATTCCTCACCACACACTATCAGGAATCTAGGATTATGGTGGTTGCTATTTGTGAACCCTCTGAGATGACTGAATTAGTAATTCTTACTGTAGAAGCTGTCACTGTAGTGTCACCACTTCTAGCCATGCTCACATAGAACTTATTGACAATTAGGAATTGTTTATTGTCTGGGAATCTCAGATAATCTATATTTGAAACAAATGTAGTTGCAATGGAGCTGAAGCTGAATGAATCACAAGGGGAGGGTTAATTTGTGAAGTTCTAGAAAGTAAATGTTTTAGCCAATACAGTTGCTATTGTAACCACTGAGGGGCTGTTTCAACATGAAAATAACAATGGGGAGACAATTCCTGAATGAAGGAGCATGGCTGCTTTCCAGTTCTTTGCAGAGACAAAGGGCACACGGGAGATTTTCAACTGTGGAATATAACCTGCCAACCCTTTGGGAATCAGCAGTGTTTTGATCACATTTAATTATAAAGTAATGAATTATTCCCTACTGTGTGACTTTTAGGTTTCCAGTTTTTCTTTTGAAAGCAATGTTTGAATGAGAATTTCTGGATGATTATTAAATTGTGGATAGGTAAATATTTATGTAGAATCAATTGCAGCAAGTATTACTGTGATACAAATATATCTCTGTAGTTTGTAATGTATCATTTGGGTTTCATAATTTATTATGTAAAAATTATTTGTGAATTGCATAATTAAATATATTTTTAAAATATCAAGACATTGTTGAAATCATGTTGTGATTTAAGATTTGTCCTACCTTTGTAGGACTTACTTCATTATATCTTCAAAATTAATTCTTTTATCCAATTCATATTGAGCAGATTACCTGGAAGTATTGTCCTGTGTTCTCTAAACACAGGATGGAAACAGTAATTCTCAGTTTCCAATTCTGAGAAAAGACCAAATGATTCTGTAGTGTGTAAGAGAGGTTTATGTTTTATGACATTAGCACAAGCATTTGATAAAATAAAGTGTAGATTTTAGTCAAGTGGCTGATGTTCCTGAGCATTTTCCCTTCTACAAGTCAGTGTCACATCAGTCTGAATTTAAGTGTGAACTTCTGCTGTGGAATTTTCTGTTTCCTCACACCTTCCTTGTAATTGGTGGAGATCTGATAAGGCCACAGCTGCACAAAAGCCTCCTGCAGAGTCTCCCTGTGGCAGGGCTGTAGCTGCACACCCAGCTGCAGTTTGGGGGCAGTTGGGGGCCAGGCTGCAGGCTGGCTGGGAGCACTGTGCACTCACTGCACAGAGGTAGGTGCCTGAGTCCTCCAGCTGGGCGTCCCTGATGTGCAGGGTGCTATTGCGATCCTTAGAATTGAATGTTGCAGTTAACCTCCCATTCTCCTTTGTTCCTGGAGTCAGGAAAAAGAGATTGATGAGGCTGCCCCTGGGATTCTGCCGGAACCACTGCACAGTATTCATGGTTGTAGAAAACTTGCATGTCAATGTAGAATTGGTTCCCTCGTGGAGACTCAGGGCTGAAGGACTCTGCTCCACCTCAACTCCTCTCACCCCTGCTTGGAAACAGAAAGGAAACCAGAATCAGTGAGGGGTTTCCACCCACACCTGGCAAATATCCCAGGAGACACCATGAGGATGACTGTACAGGAGCTCTGGGTTGGCTCCTTCCCCCTCCAACACTGACCTCTCTGGAGAATCCCTAAAGCAATGTAGGAGAGCACAACTCACAGCAAATCTGCACCCACAGAATCCCCAGCACAGCTCTCAGCTTCCTCTGCATGGCCCCTGTTCAGTTGCTGGGATGTCTCTCTCCAGCTGTGAGGGTGTCAAGTCTTGTGCCCAGACACACTTGTGCTCACACACAACAGCTTCTGTCTGAATCACCCAACTTCCTCATTCATCTGAAGAAGAAACCCCACCCACTTGCACCTCAGGACTCTGCATGGCAATTGTTGCACAGCTGTGGAGGACAATGATGGAGACCCCGGGACACTGTATTTCTAATGTAACACTTCTTGGAAGGGGAGTTTGGAGACGAATGTCTGAGGAAGGGGAATACATAAATGTAGAATACTGGTGGGAAAATCAATAGCTCCAGTATTAAGCAGTCAGTGCCTGGAAGGATCTACAGAATAAAAAGAGCTTCTTGATATTAGCAGATCGTCATGTGCATAGAAAATGTTCCCTAAGACAGATTTGGGAATTAAAAGAAAATGAGGCATGCCCGTGTTTCAGCCCTCATTTATTTTCCAACTCTTGCCGTCTGCACATGCTCTTCTGGAAAATACAGCTGATTCTAGCCATGCTGTGAATGCCTGTCCAAGTTCAGTGAGGCCCCATCCCTCATATTTTTTATACATATTAGTTCCCAGTTTACCCAAGTAGTTATTTTTTTACTTTCTATTTTAGAATATACTATATACATATGTGTGTATGTGTGTGTGTGTGTGAGAGAGAGAGAGAGAGATCGAGACAGAGAGAGAGAGAGAGACAGAGACAGAGACAGAGACAGAGACAGAGACAGAGACAGAGACAGAGAGAAATGATATTGGAATAATTTCTAGTTCTTTGAATTTGGGGACTTTTCAACAAAACATTAAAAAATAAAAGCAGTATATTTGTTTTCTCTTCAGTGTCCATTCTCATAATGTCCAATGAGAGTCTATTTTGTTCAGAGAATTTTATTAAAATAGATTGATAGACACGTGGGATCCAGCTAACAGGATTTATGCCTGTGTGGTTTTCAGCAGAATTACTGAGAGCTAAAGATCCGGGTGATCTCCACACCATCACCCCTACTCCTTGCTTTCTGAGTGGATTGCCTTGTGTCCTTATGTCTCTTCTCAGATCTTCAAACCTCCAGGAACCTGAAGTAATTTCTAGGAATCCTGCAGTGCCCCCTAGTGGATGGGCACCACAAATAAATGTGACTTCAGGCCATCTCCACAGGCTCACTAAACCAGCCCTTTTCACTCCATCATTTCCTGGTGAAAGGAATGGAGATGGTCAGAAGACAAGACTGTCTAGATGGAGTTCACAAAAGAAGAGATAAAAATGGCTAAAAAATAAACATCAAAATTGTTCATCATCTTTAGCAATTAGGAAAATGCAAATTAAAACAACTTTGAGATTCCATCTCACCCAAATTAAAGTAACTAAATTATTAAAACAACTGACAATAAAGGTGGGGTAGGTTGTGGGGGAGAGAACCCACCCTTAACTGTTGTGGGCAATGAAAATTGATGGAGGTACTCTGGAAATCAGTGTGAGAATCTTCAAAGAACTAAATGTAAAATCTACCACACTACCCAGCTATGCCACTTCTTGGCCTATGTCCATAAAACTCCACATCCTACTCCACAGGTTCTTGTTTACTTTATTGATATTCTATTCACAGTCATTTTTCTCTTATTACAGAGAAACTTAAATGACATCAAGAACTAGTTTATCTGTGCAAAAGGCACCACCACACTTCAAGTTCTGTCTTTCAACTCAAAGGAAAGGTGATGAAAGCCACATAAATCAGAGAGTACTGTGTAAAATATGTCATAAAATTGAAAACAATGTCTTGATTGGAAATTATTAAACAGAAGTCAAATCTTACCTTTATGGTGCTGATTTTAGTAACACTCTTTCCCCAACATAATATTTCTACTGATTATTTCAGAATTTCACAGGATACACCACAATCCCAACAGGTCCATGTGATTTTACTCACTTTCTGGGTCCATTACCCACCCTTGTGACCTACCCCCAAAAGAAGAAGAAAAAATACAGCAAGTACAATTTGTCTTGTTCATATGCTCACTGGAGCATGGTCAAACACCCAGTGGCAAGACCTCCCCCACAAAAAAGTGAGTCCTTCCTCACCCCCTCATCTCCCAAGCCCACAAGAAGCCATAACTGGGAAGAGCTACACTTTAATAACCTTATCACACTTTTAAAGAGTTTTATTCAATGGCTGCCTGTCTAGACTGTTTGTTGTGGGAGTGGACTGTAGGGAGGGGGTGATGACACAGAAGCATTCTATGTCTCTCATTCACAACTGTGAGGCTGTATTCATCAATACTTCTGCAAAAGAAGCTTCTTGTTATTTATAGTCAGCAGCAATACTGTCCATAGCCATCTACATGGCCTCTGGTGGGAGCACAGACATCAACATAGACCTCAGCTGTAGAATGGTCAGTGGACACCATCATGACCCTTGGTGGCAACACAGGCCATGAACATCAACATGGGCTCTAGCTGGAGCACAAACCATGGATATCCATATGGCCTCCTGCAGAAGCATGGAGCACAAATATCAACATGACATCAGGTGTCAGACAAGGCTGCAGACATCCCTTTGTCTGTGATAAAACATAAAAATGGTCTCAGGTGGCAGCACACACCACAGATACCAATGTGGCCTTCAGGGGTGGCATGGACCACAGATGTCACCATGGACCCAGGACTGCAGGCATTAACATGGCCTCCAAGCAACATCATGAATCACAAATGCCAACATGGCCTCCAGCTGTAGTACAGACCCAGTTCGTCCACATGGACCATGGGCATCAACATGGAATGGGGCACTAGCATGGATCATGGACACTGATGTGGCCTCTGGGAGCAGAACAGGCCATTAGAGGTCTTTCAAAGGGGCCAATACAGAAAATGAACTGACCTCCATCTCAAACTTCCTGTCATTGCTCATAACCAGGGTGATGGTCCACTTGGGCATGGCTCTCCAGGGACAAAGTCTACTAAATTGTCATGTTTCTGCACAATACCTTGCTGGCCCTACTCAGGAAGGACATGCATCCTTCTTATCCCTGACAAATCTCTAGTATCATCTCTTTCTACCACACACGTGTTCCTCCATCCTTTCTATCTCTCCATCACATATTTGTGTGATGATATTTTCTTTATGATCCAACAAATAAATCTTGCTTGATGATGAGAATGCAAAGCTAGCCGCATTAGTTAGCCACACATGCAAGGAAGTGGCGGCACACACCTTTAATCCTGGCAGCCACATTAGTGAGCAACAGCAGCCAGGCAGTGGTGGTAAAACTGCTTTACATGCACATACTCATAGCAACAAGACACTGGTCTGACTCAATGTTTCTAATTTCTAAATCACCACAAATACTGGACCATAGCCAAGTCTCATATCCTGATGTTGTCCAGAGTCATGGTACTCTTTCAGCTAGGCAGGACATTCTGGGGCAGATTCCTTAAGAGCTCCAGGTTGCTACATACCTCCTTGTCTTCAGGGCCAGACACCCTGGGGCTCTCAGATTGCAGAAGTTTTCCTTGCAGCCTACAGGGCGCCCTGTGGGCCAAGATTTCCTTCTGCCAACAGCAGCAGCTCTGTGTTGTGGGCAGGTCTGCAGGCCAAGGATGGGCCTTATTCACTAATGACATGGTCTTTATCTACTGTGACCACACTCTCCTGTTACCTTCTTCACCATGTTCCTAGTTTTGCCATCCTCTGACACACTTGCTGAAATCCTCTGCCATCTTTCCTTCAAATTTCATGAGTCCACTTTTTAAGACCATCTTCCCATGAGACATGAATTTTTATCAGTTGTTCCAGATATACTGCAGGCTCCGAGGACTCCTCCTCTGTCAAATCTACTCTAACAGGGTAGGAATATAATCTAAAAGTTTGTAGCAAAGCAGAGGCATGGGATAAGGGCAAGGCTTGCCCAAATGTATGAGTGGGCTAGTGTCCATTCAGAGCTTATAGAGATAGCATAGAAGAGACATCACAGAAACCTGCATGGGACATGATGGTGCATGCCTCTGATCTTATCACTTAGGAGGCAGAGGCAGAAGGAACCCAGAGCATCCTGGAGAGGATAAAGGAGCACTTGTTTTCCCTTATTTCTATGCAAATAACCCTGTACCACCCAAAGACCTGGACCTGAGCAAGACCTCACAGACACGTGGATGCTCCTCATGCTTCACTCAACACTCCACAGAGATCTGCCAGGGTAGTGGGAATCCATCACTATCTGATTTCAGTAACAAATCAAGGAAATTATTTTTTTATATTATAATGGTTTTCATACACTGTGCAATAATAATCTTCTAATAAATATATTGATTACTAAAAGGTAAGAGCCTTTCCATCATGAGTATTTCCTGCCAGTGACACAGAGATGTCATTGGAGTGCATGCATCTAAATGTCACCTGACAGTCAACTAAGTCTTTACATGTAATCAGTTATTCTCACTATGAGATCACTCAAGATGAAGCATATGAAAGCAACCTTAAAAATAACATCACGAGGATGATAGAAATCCTAAGAGAGAAAACGAGAAAATCTTCAGAGAAATGGAAGAAAAGACAAACCAAAAGATGCAAGAAATCATTAAATATTTTAAGGAAAAGCCAAGAAAATACAAGAAAACAGTTGAAGGAGACAATTCAGACAGTTCAAGACCTGAAAACTGAAATGGAAACAATTAAGAAAACACAAACAGAGGAAATGCTGGAAATAGAAAAGTTGAGTAAATGATCAGGAACCACAGAATACAGAACAGAATAACCAACAGAATACAAGAGATGGAAGACAGAATCTCAGACGCTGAGGATAAGCTAGAGGAAATAGATTCATCATCCAAAGAAAATCTTAAGTCCAACAAATCCTTAACACAAAATATCCAGGAAATATGGGACACTGTGAAAACCCAAGGACAATAGGTATAGAAGAAGGTGAAGAAACCCCAACAAATCCTTAACACAAAATATCCAGGAAATATGGGACACCGTGAATATCCAAGGACAAT